AACATTTAAACCACCTAAAGTACATGACATGACATTTGAATTTCAATCAGTTTGTTATGTGCCTTACATCTGAGTTTTGAAGAAATTTTCTGTTCCAGTACTGGATATGTTTACTTTAAGTTCTAAATAGAATTTAGTGAACCCTTTCACTGAGGCGAAAAACTGTTATGGCCAGACCATTTCAGCTAGAATTATTAAGATACCTAAAGCTTTGAATGCCAGCAAGTTCTTGTTGCAATACTTCCTGAGTAGTGCTGATCAAGTCCAGTGCACCAACAAAGTCAGATGTCGACAACAGCAGCTGAATTGTTGGCTGTGTTTGATGAACTGTGGCCATCATTTTCAGCTGAAGAAAACATAGATTATCACCACTCCTTCACATTTAAATGCTAACATTTTAACTCCAGAGATGTGATTGCTAATTCTCCCCTCTAGCTGGAAGAATTTGGGATTAGATAAAGATAACAACTTCTACCTGATGAGCATTCTCATTACCTGCTTGCTTAACAATGTATGGATATTATGGGGAACTTAAATTTTAATTACTTCTGGGAGTTAAAGGTTATAATTACTGAATGAAATTATTCTTTGCCTTAATTTAAGAGTCTAGATTGCTTGATAAAATTTATCTGACAATACCTATTCTGAATCTACCTTTATTGTTTTTGCAGATCTGTGATAACCAAACAGAGCAACTAAGTTTTTGCTTGCTACATTCAAACTTTCCTTATGAACAATGACAAAATAAACCCTTACATCAGTATGTATATTCTCAATACTGTTCTTTATACATTTTTTTAGGAGCTGACAGGGAGAATTTGTTGAACAATCAAGAGGTTCTTTAGTTGGTGATCTTTTCCTGAATGATTTAGGGTAGATATTGTAAGGAGAAACTAGATGTAAATCACTCCTGGGAGCCAAGGCAGTAGAAAGAAAACAATTTGAGCCTGAATTATACAGAACATTTGAAATCGTTCTTCCCTTCAACCAATTACAAGTATTTGTTATCATACTGAAACTGGAACACTGACACAAGGCACACAAAATTCAGCTCACAGTCAAAAAAGGGCTTCTTTAACTTTCATCCCAATTCATATCTGGGGGTGTTAGATGGATAAGGGTTCCACAACAGGTTATTAGCTCCTCTCACCTTTTCAAACACACTGAGATATTTAGATCTCAAAGATGAAAGCCTGAGAACATTCAGGAATCCTGAACACAAAACCTCTTGAACTTTTTGCACCTTCATTCTGGGAAAATTAAGAAATAAAGCAAGCATTAATTAACATTAACAACACAAGTACAAACATTTTCAACAACATTATCATAAGTTAAAATATCTTATTTTTACAAAGCCATTGAATCAAATCCTTACTAGGAAATAATTATTTTGATCCAGGCCACAAAACAGTAATAGATGAATATGCACTTATAGATTGAGTGGGAAGGTCAGGCTGGAAAATGTTTGGCTGGCAGTCATGATAACCAAGCAAGCCTGACCAAGTGCATGCATTATGATCATCCAGAGCCAATTATTTTCCTGTCCACCTGATCATGACATAACTAAGCCAATGAGCATTTTATCAAATGCCTTTTTCACTTTGTTTTCCAGCCTAATCTTCTTCCCACACACATCTCTACTGTCCCATCCTGCCCTCATACAGGATTTTTGTCTAAAGTTTTTTAATAAAAATGCTCTGGGTCATACAGGTGATACACAAATCAATTCAAAATAAAACTTAAATTGTACCTTAAATGTTTGATCTCACTGACTGTCCCTCCAACATGATCCTGCAGCTGATCTTGGGATGCCATTGCACTGAAGAAATCTTCTGATCTTAGTGAGATCTGATGAGCCAGATTCACTTCTGTGATGTCCAAATAGTGTGACAACTGAGAAAAGAATTAAACAACAAATGGTTCCTTTGATTGAAAACAAAAAAAAACTTTGGCATTTCAGCACTTCCTAGGTGACCAATTGCTTCAATACAGAACTTGATGTAAATGTTCTTTGTGTATTTTACTTCAAGGTTTCAGGCAAAAAAAATTATTTGAAAAAGTATTAAAGAAAATGAGGAAAAACCTACCTAACAGTGAGAGTACCAACTTAAAATATTTTATAAATTGTGTTATTGGGGAAGAAACTAAATTCTTCTGGTACCACTCTGTTCCCAGAAGTATCACTCTGTTCCCAGGGGTATAAAAAGATATCTTGGAGCTGTCAAGGAAACTTTTAAAACCAATTGTTGGGCAATTTTCTATATCAAATAGGCCTGATTATCTCATCCCAAGGGGATGATGACAAAAATATCATAGAAACCAAGGTAAGTTATCAGGAAACACAGTGCTGTAGTAGTTAGTGTGCTAGACTCTGGCTCAAGAGGTCTGGGTTGAGGACCAGGGTCATTGTGTTTTGTTCTTATGCAACACACTCTACTCTCACAGTGTGTCTCTCTCCACCCAGGAACACAAATGGGTACAGGAGAATTGTCAGGGAAGCCTGAAGAAATGCTGGGGGGGGGGGAAGATTAACTATCAATAGACTGGCATCCCATCTAGGGGGGGAGGAGAGGAGGGAATACTCCTTGTAACTTCATACGATGAAAACCAGGATAAGCTCCAACTGTATGGGTCACTCAGCTTGAGTATAAACTCAAATACCTTTGCCAAGATACAATGTCGGTTCTACCAATATTGGGCTGCTGAATCAAACTTTATTTAGGCAGACAAATAGTGACACATCAACCAGTCAGTACAAACTTACAGTCATGCAGATTGGTGTCCCGCTCAAACTCAACCCTCTCTAAATATTTAGAACAGTTATCACTACCTTTTCCTGAAGAAGCTTTGCTGAGTTCCTCGGCACAGCCCTTGTACTCTCAGCTGGTTCTTGAGTCACCATACTCCAAGGAAGGACACTGTTAAAGATCTCTGGGTCTTCCAAAGCAAAATTGGTCATCAGGAACACCTGAAATTTACCAAGACTTAACAACTCAATGAAGTCTCCATGCTGACCAAAATACAATTATTATGTTACAGTCTGTAATTTCCAATAAACTTGTATGAAACCACCCTTCCACTTTGCCCTCTACAGGATCCTTAACAACTGCTGGTAATCAATCATTTAATGAATTTCACAATTACTCAGTCAATTAAACCATCCATGAAAAATTAGATAATGTTAGTATTTCCTTGAATAAGCACCCTTCCCTAAAAAAGCACCCACCCCTTGGCCAAAATGGGAAATAAGTGCCCCACCCAAACAGTAGTCCTGAGAACAAAGAAAATCAGTTTCTATAGCCACAGTGACTTAATTTACAACTTTGTAAATTTTAACTACAGCAAAATCAGTAAAGGAGAATAAAAAGTGCCCCATTGATTAAGCACCCTTCTTCTGATAAGCACCTTTCCTTTGAGCCAAAATTTTAAATAAGTGTCCTTGCTTATTGGACAAAATACAGGGAAGGAATTTTAAAAGGTCACACAAGTCACAATTCTACCAACAGTAAACAATTAAAGACAAAAATTATTTTACAATGAAAAACAAACCTTTGGTATTAGGCTGATATCAGATGCAACTTTGTCAACTGGAAAATAAAAATTTAAAGCAAAGTGAGTCCTTATTCATTAACCTTACGTGTATATAGCGAAGATCAACCAAAGATAGCTCATCTTCAACTAACTTGTTCCACCTCCAATAAAATCATATTCCACAACAGATACTTTAACCACTAACCACTCTGTCTTTTGGCTG